CCAATATGATTTACATTATATAAGAAACAGAATATCCAGCCTACATTACATATCAATGTTCACGTCAGACTACAAGAGAGGAAACATAGGTAACTGCTAAGAACAAAACATTTTATTCTCTCAATCCATCCTTTAAGTCTTTGTTTTCAGACTCTTCTCAATTGACTTTACAAAAAAAGAAGTCAGAAATTCAAATATTTCATTCCTCTCAAAATACACTTTGGTAAGTTCTCTCTTTCATAAAGAAAAAAACTCACAATTTGCCACAACACTGGATGTTACATTTGTAATGTCAGCTAAGAAATAATATACAGAACAGTACCTTAATTGTCAGCCTCATAAGCCTATTTGTTTCACTCAGCACATGGCAATATGCTGCATGAAATAACTATGGTTACTAGGCATACTAAAGAACACTTAGCTGTTATCTGTCACAGATGAACCAAACTTGTGGGTAAATATTTTTACTTTAACTGCATCAATCATTTTAAATATTTCACAATTATTTTTCTTAAAGTTGGTTTTGAAGATGATGCATAATGGATATGCATAAAAAAATTTTTTCTTTTTTCAGCTAAATGTAAAAACAAATAGTTATTTTGCATGACAATGCATTTTTTTCTAAGTAATTTTTTTGTCTTCTCTGAAAGAAAAAATCAAAACATGTCATTAAATGTTTATTTTATTATAAAAAACAGTTAAAGAAACAGGTGAAAGTACCTTTATGATTCATAAAATATGATGCAAGTTTCATGAAAACTCGGGGCACAATTAATATGTAATTCATTTGAAGTGATATTCACAAAATACATTAAGTACAAGTGTTAATAAACTTTACAGATGTATATAAAATAGCAAAACAAGAAAATTTCAAAAATTCATTTGGCCATATTTAATCTAATCCAAGTCTTTGCTAAATCAATACATATAAACTGAAAAAAAAAGTATCCGCTACACAAATAAATAATTTTATTGCATAGCTCTGTTTTTATAATAAATGCTAAAAACATTTTAATATTTCTTTTATACAAGAATTGTCCTGATGGTTATAACAACAAATATTAAACTAAATGAGTATTCTTGGTGAGAATATAGAAATATAAAGCATGTTCTCAGGGAAGGTTTTTATGAACAAGTACCATCACTTAGATAGTACAATAAGTAAGTAAGCCAACTTCAAAGTGTTAATTTCAAGAACTAGTAAGTCTGTTTACTCTACTTCTAGATTATAACAATTTGTAGATTTTTATAGAATTATAAAAACACAGACTGTCATATTTAGATGAAAGTTCTAGTATCAGGAACAAATTTTTTCCTTTTGCAGGCAGTATTTTGAATATATTTAATCAGGAGTTATAAATTGTAACAAACACACACACACACACACACACATATATATATATATATATATATATATATAACAATTGTTATGGTGTGTACACCTTTAACACTCCATTGTAGAATGATTACAAATATATTTGCCATGAGACATTAGTATTAGGACTATTACATTTTTAAATGTTATGTTCTTAATCTAGACCCTTGGGGATTTTCAAAAATTAGAATATTGTCAACAGCAATAGATATGACAAATATAGTGTGGTTGGAATACTATTATTATACACTCTTCTAATTCTTTAAAACCCCCAAGGGACTATATTAAGAATGTAGTGTTCAAAAATGTAATAAGACATATATATATATAAATACAAATAAAAAGAGTAAATAAATGTTATTTTCCTCTTGAAATATCAAAAATGGTCATTGCTGAGTCTTACCTATGTTGCTGTTGAAATTTCCAGAGTTTTGTGTACACATCAAAAGTACGTCCAAAGTATGCTTGCCACTGCTTATGGCCATACTGAGGCAAGTCCCTAAAAAGATTGATTAAGATGTAAGTACAAAACAGCTTGCATAAACATAGTTAGAAATTACTGTTATTATATCCTTATGATGTATGATAATCTAAAAATACTAACTTGTGTCTTCCATTTCTCGAGATATATTTGTATTTATAGTATGATGAGTGAAAGGTTAGACCTGGAAAAATGGTTACTACGCTGTTGATATTTTGATCTCTGTAACATATCTAAACTCTTCAATAATCCTTTTTGGAGCAGAATATTAGATATGTTGAGTACCTAATTAACTCTCTGTATATGGGCTCGTCCATAATGACTGACCCAGTAGCCTTCATGTAACCAAGAAACTGTACATAACTCTGAATGTACAAAGTGTATCTTCATAGAACTTGGCAAACATTTAGTAAACATTATAAGTCTGTTGTGCACAAAAAAAAATAATAATAAAGTATTTTTTGTAAAGACTTGTCTGGGAATTTATGAAGCCTTAACTGAATCATTCTAAGTAAAAGGAGATTTACATACTAAGAATAAAAGTACTATTTTCATCTTACAGTTTTCTTATTTCATTTCCATAACCTCTACAACCTCCTAAATAAATAGCAAAAGTTTTTTCAGTACAACTTTACATTTTATCTGTCATTTTCCTTACCCTAATACTAACTATAGAAAAATCATCAACATACAGTAAAATGAAAAACTGAAAAACACAAAGTAAAATCAATGATACTTTTTTTTTCATTGACATAACTGCAATTTGTAACAAACAATTATAATTACTTATCCTAACAGCCCCAGCTATCTAACTTTTTCATATCTACACTTGCTTTTAATTTTATTACTTGGCAATGCATTTTATACTAAGTACATTACAGGCAATTAACCATAGCAGAAGAACTTAGTATAAACAACCAATTATGTTACAATCAAGTGAAACAGTTACCTTGAGCTGATCTCATGAAATTATATTTTTTGGATTTACTCTTTGTTATCTAATCTAACAAGTTTCTTTTTTTTTATCATTATAGTTACTTCTTCTAAAAAATATATAACAATAAATTTTGGACTTACATTAAAGTAATTTGTACTACAGAGTGAAGTTCCTTAGCACAGTTTTTCATACAATGTTTGTTCTCCATAATCATTAATGTTCCTTTCAAATATGCATTTTAAAACACAAAAAATATAACATGTACAAGAATAAAATGTCCCAAAAATCACTCTAATTTAACTGGCTTTCTAACTAAGCTATACATAGGTTACACAAATTCCATTAGTTGCTCAGAGCAGAGGAGCACTATCACTTACAATGAAACTAAGACTAAATATCTACTTACGGGTAGGATAATGAAATAAACATGTAAGGAATCTTGTAAAGAAGCTGCTGCTCTTTTTATTGGTTATAAATAATTTAATGACAAAGAATTATTGACATTTTTTAAAAGACTGAATGATATGGGAGGGATGTGTGATGTGGTTTTGACAATTTTTTATATATCTCAGTAAAGCAAGATCAGAGGTTCAAAGTTTTTATTCTGGCATGTCAATATCTATAGTATGCATTTCTAATTATCTAGACACTCATAAATCATATGTGGATAGATATAAAATCTAACATGGGCAATTCAAAGTGCAGACACATAACATGATGCAGAGAATGAAGATTAATAATATATTTAAATATTTCCTTTAGAAATTAAAACTTGAATATTATAAAATTTGAATTATAATCTATGTTTTGATGCCAAGCTCATTGACACCCTGATTATGATTATGCCATTTTTTTTAAATCTGAGGAACCACTTACAAAAAGAATTTAGACAGGTTATAAAAATGAGGACTTTTTTATTCTGGGACTAATATATATGCTCCAACAGAGAATGACTAAAAATAAAATTTACATCTGGGTATCTTACAACCTGCTGGTTTAAATGAAACGTTTTTCTTTCTTATCCAATTTTACTTTTTCTCTATTTTGGCATTTGCATTTTGAAATGCTTGGACAAAAAAAAAAGCTAGCACAACCACTGTGATGAAGAGTAAATGGTCTGAATCTAGACTACCAAAGTTTAGACCAATTATTACTCATATAATTCAAATTTGTATTCTTTACATTCTACCAGTCATAAACTTCATCAATTCATAAGAAAACTTTGCAAACCCTTATTAATTTTGAATACCAGAATAAAATCAACAATAATTCATCTGTGCTTCATAAAAAACACGTATCAAACTCAAGAGGCCATAATAATGAACCTGAGAGGCTTCAGTGTATCCAAAAAAGAATAAAAAGAAGTAGAATAAAATTAAATGAGCAAATAAATGGAAAGAGAAAAAGAAATAATTAGGTCAAAAAGAAATCAGGTTTAGTAATCTCACTGCTTGATCACTTTAAACGTTAAGCACAAAGTTACATAATGGCTATCTGTACTTTGCCTAACTTTAGCCTTAAAAGCCTTTTACTTCAAGTTTTTTTTAAGGGAAGGCTCATATATACAAGGGTCTCGAGTTCAAATTTGCTCACTCTACCTTTGTTATGGCAAAGCTACTAAGGCTATCTGTCACTGTCACTAATTTTGAACTGTTCACTAGGGGGAAGGCAACTGTGTGGCAGCACCCACCACCAACTTTTTTTTTGTATATACCTTGGTTTGAGGAATGTTGTACTTATTAATCATATATAACAAATTAATTGATTAGCAAAACCACTAACTGCCTAACTCCTTATACATATAAAAAAGCAAAACCAAATTCTTAAAAGTTAAAGTTCTCAAACAGCCCCTAACAGCACAATTCAAAATTATGATGTTTAGCAAAAACAAATCAAAATATCATTCCTCAAATTAAATCAATTCACTATTGCACTATAGTAACAAGTCTAAACCTTTTATACTTTCCTGACAAATGGTATAATTCTTAATTATCTTATTTTGTGTAGTTGTTACTGGTGCAATAGTGGACTGGTTTGTTTTGATAAACTATTTAGATTTGGATTTGTTTTTGGTAAAATTATAATTCTGAATTTTGCTGTGAAGGGTGTTTGATAATTTGTCTTGAATTTCACTTTCTAGAATTTGGTTTTTGCTTTTTATTTAATCATTGTTATATAGTGATAATATACTCTTGATACAAATAATTTCATTATTTATACATATTTAGATTATATAAATTATTAAAGTAGATTGTTTTGGTTCTTATTAATTCTAGATATCTTAAAATCATACTTGGGTTGAGGAAGTTCTAAAACTTAACTAAATATAGAATTGATGCTAACTAAATGATATATTATTCTGATTGTTTGAATTTCTTTGAAACTGTGCTTACTGGTTATACTATTAAGATTATTATAAAACTATGCTGTGATACTGCTATTGGTTGAGGATTTTTCAGAAAAAAATATATCATGTATGCACCGAAATACTATTTTATACACATTTAAAGAAATGAAGAAGAGTGTTTTACTGAAAAGTCAAAGTTTTAGTGACAATGAATATCCAGCATCACCTTTAAAACAGTGAAATGAATATTTTATACTAACATTTTGTTAATGACTCAATAAAACAGTCATATCTGCTTATGGAAAACCAAAAGCATGTTTGGAATTTTACATGATGTCAAAGTGACAAAAACAGTATAGTACTGTTTAGTTAGGTGAGACACATGCTGATACCATATGATAACATTTATTAAATTCTTGACACACAAATCCTATCACTGTGAGGGAGAACATTTAAAAGAAGCATCAGGTCAGACACTATGTCAGTTTTTTTTTTTTTTTGCTGCTATTATTACAGCAGCAGCAGCTAATTCACTTCAGAACTGGCATATTAAACCTACCAAATTTCATAATGATGAAAGTTATAATTTTCCTTTACTGAAAATATATTTCCAATAAGTACTAACTCTCTCACATCTATAGTTATTCTTATTCAGTGTTGCCTTCTATATCCAAAAATATTTTCACATGCTACAAGCATTGAGCTCCCATATACCCCACGATCAATGTGGTTCAACTGCATCTCACAGTTAAATCATCATGAGACAACCCTCCACCAATAGGAGTGCAACACACCCTCTTGATGCATACCACTCCCTCTATTTGATTCTACCAAACTATTAATTCAAGTTTTGGCAGAAAATGGAAGCACCAACTTTAAGTGGGGAGGAAGGGTGGAGGTAAGTACCTATCAGAAATACATTTTTAGTTAGGAAAATTTAACTTCCGATATGGTACCTTACCTCCATGCACAGATATAGTTAGAATCCCACATTGAATAGGTGGAGGGACCAGTGTGAAGGAAAGAAAGAAGCACCCTTCAAAAACATTCAAAGAGTACCTGAAATGTGAAGATCCTAGCAGCAGTAGAGGATCCTATGTGAGAGGCCACACTACACCTGTACCGGGTATACTCTACACTCAGTGTGGAAAGAGGTGTTGCAAACATTGGTGGAAAATGAGAGTAGCACATCCAAAAGGGAAAGAACAATGTTTGGATAAGGATCCGAACCACATATCGGAATCTCAATCCCTTGGAAGACAGTAATATGTGTGAGAGTAAAAGGATGTGCCCCAAGGTTTAGAGTAGTTAGTGCACGAGGGACCATACACGGCAAGTCAACTGCATCCCAAACCCAGCCACCGGGAACTAACAATCCATGTGGGAGTAGGATGAGAATCATACCATCAGGAAGTGAACTACAATCCCAAACCCAGCCACTGGGAACCAACATCCATGTGGGGGGTAGGAAAGAGTATCATACCAGTGGCAAGTCTACTATAATCCAAAACCCAGCCTACTGGTGGGGGGTAGGAAAGAGGATCATACCTTATTCACCTCAAGTTCAGCAGACCAGAGGGAGATATTATACTCCCCAATATATGAAAAGGGATGGTCGGAATAATAAAGATGTCCCTGTATTGTACAACATCCCACTCAAAACCAATCATACAAGAACCACTCCCAGCACTGTAACATCCTCAGTTTATGAAAAATCTTCGAAGTATAGCACAA